TGCAAAAAAAATTAAATACATTTTTAATTTAAAAATAGTTAAAAAGTTACAAGTAACACAGAATTATGATAATTTTTAATATGCAAAAAGCACAGGATTTAAATTTTTATTTTTTACGACCCTGATGCACATTAGATATTATTAAACATCGATAGACTTGTAATAGAATAACATCGCCATCAAATAGCACCAATTGTTTTTTCTGTTTAAAAAAAAATAACACTAACAAGTAAGATATACTATAAGCTAATAATAAAACTAATGACGTATTTACGAGAAGCATTCGAAAGAGTTGAAATTCTTTTAATGTTACGTTCCAACGTTCCTTTCCTGGAAACATTTTGCTGAAAGTCTATACTCATCGACGAATTTGTTAAAGTTCCATTTTCGTCTATTAATAAATTGAAATGAAATTAGACAAGTACATTTTTGATTCACGTTACAGATTACAATACTTACTTTGTAGTCTCAATCGCTTATGCGAGGAATTTTCAATAAAATCGATGGCGAGCCTTCTTTTTTTATCGCCGACTTTAGTTTTATTAAAAATTTTATCGAGGAAACCCATGCGTTTTCTGGTAGACGTAACGCCTTCAAGAAAATTATATTTAAAATTGAATTTTTTCGAACTTTATAAAAATGAATAAAAGTTACCATCTGTAAGACAAATGGGACATTTATCGGTGGAAACGATACAGGAATAACATCGTTGATGTCCACATACGTCAACTAATTTCCTTTTTCTCCCACTTCCAAAAGATTCGTGGCAGGAAGAACAAACATTACTCGAATATTTTATCCTTGCCGAAACTATAAATAAACTTTTAATCTTATTTTTTAAATAATATATATGTATTAATAATTTCGGGGCAATTAGCAATCTATAAATTTTGTGCAGAGATCATTTGAATTGGTTTTCAATGCATCTTTTAATTGAATATAATCGCTATAACGAAACATCATTAGACATTAATAAAATATTGTAAGAAAATAATTTCTAATGCGTATATTTAACAATTAAAATATCTTCGAGTATCACTTTCTTTTAGTAATAATCGATATAAAGTAAAATAGGATATCTTATCAGTCTCATTGTGGGCCTAGCAGAACCTACGTTGGGCTTGAAAAAAAAGCCTCATAATGCCCACAGAACGGAGTTATTTAACAGATCAAGTATATATATACATTATCTAATTTAAACATATGGAAGAAAAGCAATTTATACATAAAAATCATATCATATAATGAAACTTGAGTAGAAAGAGAGCCAAAATGAAATGATTTCTAGCATCATAAAGGAATTTAATAGGGACAATTTTAGAACATATTAAGTTAAAATGCGCCAAAGTGTAAAGGTTCTCGAGACAATGTGTTTGTTCTTTCACTTCAGAAAAATTTATCAATAAATCTAACTAATCTCAGTTTTATCAATATTCAAAATTGCGCAAAGGAATCATCATAAATCTCTGGTAAACGACGTGATGTCGAGATATAACATGTATTTATTTTAAAAATAACATCTAAAATTAATTAGTTTTAAAATATTTATTCACTAAACCAATTAATAATCCAAAATTTTCAAATAATTCCTTTAAAAAACGATTTACTAACACTTTACCGGGACAATGATAGTGTCATCTGCGGATTTTTTTCTACGCACTTACCTGATCTTTTACCGAAAATTTTTCTTATAGGATCGAAGATGCTGAAATTCCAATCCCAAATAACATAAAATAATAATAATGAATGAATATATTGATTAGGTATAAAACGAAACATGATCAACTACGACTTCTACAAGCAATGGGTGAAGCTAAGACGTCTGGAATTGCCCTCGAAAGGTGTTTCTATATATAAACAGTAGAGACGGGAAGAAGTTCAACGTCTTCTATTAACTAACTTCATTGTCATTTTTCTACACAAGTANAAAATTAGTTTTCGTTGATCAATAGAGCTAAATCTCTAGTAATCTTAAGCAATATTTTCCGAAATTAGGGCTATCATTTTACTAATTTGACTGCAAAAAAAATTAAATATATTTTTAATTTAAAATATATAGGCTATTATTTAGATATATATTTCTATTATTTTCGAATAGCCGTAAAATACGGCATTTTATCACCCCAATTTAATATTTTCTGAACGGAAAAAGATTTTAAAATTTATATCGAGATTATAGTTGAGTCCAGAGCCGTAACTAGCCATTCCTGTGCCCTGTTCAAGAATTTGAATTTAGGCCCCTTAATTTATTTGGTTTGGGAAAATAATAAAACAAATATATTACAATAGACTTTTAATAAGATTTATTTTAATAATTATAGATATAGCAGATGAACCTCTTTCTATATTATTTATACAGGAATGTTTTTTTTTAATTTAAAAATAGTTAAAAAGTTACAAGTAACACAGAATTATGATAATTTTTAATATGCAAAAAGCACAGGATTTAAATTTTTATTTTTTACGACCCTGATGCACATTAGATATTATTAAACATCGATAGACTTGTAATAGAATAACATNTAAACAGTAGAGACGGGAAGAAGTTCAACGTCTTCTATTAACTAACTTCATTGTCATTTTTCTACACAAGTAAATAAGAATATTTTATGTAATTTAATAATAATTTTCGATATAATATATTAGTTTAAGTTCATTTAGGTAATAATTTAATTTACAACGTAATTATTTGGTAACGTTTTTCCGAATGATACGTTGTATCCAAGGTTAAAAAGTATTTTGTTAAAATTTTTAAAGATAATAACAGAAAGAAAGTACGGCGAAAAATGTCCCCAAAGATTTTTAATTTTTGGACTCTGGGACCTTGAAACGTCGAGAAATTGAAATATTCGTGGTTTTTTTTTGTGTGTGTATACGAATGCTAAAGGTGTGGTTTTGTTCACCCTGTTTGAAGCTTAATAACTCCTGTGCTTTTTGTCGAAAATTTATAAGTTTTGCAAGAAAGTTTGAGTATTAGGGAGATTGATGCTATTAAATTTTGGTGGTTAAAGGTCGACGGGGTAGGCAGATAAAGGTGGTCGGATTTTATGGCGATATTGCTCGTTATTAGCATTTATAATTATTTTTATACAATCATCTCTACACAAATTTAATTTTGCCATTTTATAATTAAAAATATAAAAAGTTTTTAAATATCATAATAGATGGCGCCACCGAAATTTTAAATGTTGCTGGAAAAGTTAAGCAACTCCTGATGATTTTTTTCATTTTAATTAAATTTTTCTTATTTAATTATTTGTTTATTTGCATTTATTAAGGGCAGATTCTTTTATATATGTTTATTTTACCATATTCAACAAAATTATATTCAAAATTTAACAATATTTTTATTGAATTCCATTAAACCACATACTAATATTAATATTACATATAAAATATGAATGCACAATAGGTCAAACAAAATTCTGCACTGTAAACATTAAAGTTTTGAAAATGTTCTGTTTATTTACAATATATATAAAACAATAAGCACCATTTTATAACTTCAACAAAAGAATATAAGCAAATAAATTTAATTATTTTCATAACTGTTTTCATATTTTAAAATCATTTGAAATAATTTTTTGGTCCCATAAGATATAAATAATCAAAATTTTGAACAATAAAAAAAAAATAATAATAATAATACGCAAAACTTAATGAGAAAATAGTTAATTAGCACGTATTTTCAAATCAATTTGTGAAAAATAACAAATCAAAAATTTATATAATTGTAAGTACAGTTGATAACATATATGCATATATTTTTGCAATTCTTGAACAAATATGTTATCAACCTATGTGCTCAATACCATTATATATATTTCCATGCAAAAATTTTTAAAATTTTGCATGAAAATATATCATCATCAAAAAGCCTAGTGATAAAACTATGAATCGACTAGTATCACCAATCACTTCAGGCACTTCAAGATCCTGTGTGTCTGTATTTCAAATTTTAATTAATTAAAATACTTTGCTAGTAACATATAATTTACTGACTGCATCAGTGAGATATACAAATATAATTTTATATACAAATAAAGAACAAATATCCTGTCACATACAAAATGATATAATATGAATCCAAGCCATGCAAAACAAATAATTCATATGTGCAAATATGAATATTGAAAATAGATATCTAATTGCAACATATTTAAAACGATTCAAAGAAAAAGCAAAAAAACTATATATAATCGTAATAATAAAAATTTTGCATTGTTTTTTGGGGCAAAATTCATATAAAATTATTTGTCTAGTTTAAATAGAAAGTATTGCAAAATAGGTATAAGTTTTTCTACATTTTAGAACAATCACTAGTTTTTTCTTGAAAACTTTATATTTTTAAAATTTACTTAAATAAAACAAGGTAAATAAAAGTTTTTATTTGAATCAATAGACAGGGTGCTAAAAAAAGCATTCAGTATTTATATGGTAGCTAGTTCACATCATTCTGAGTAAAAATCCCTTAGTATATATAAGTGCAAAACACAACTATTTCTAAAATAAATAATCCAACAAAGACCTGGAATTTTTGAGAGTTTATAACTCTAAGATGCCAAGTGTGCGTGGAAATGGGAGAATATTACATGGAACAACTGTATATATTGAGGTAAATATTATCTTTCCATGTTGTATGCAATATGTAGAAACCTATAAGCCAGTCACGATATTAACATACAGAATCATTAATATTTCAGAAACAGTTTGTGTTTGACCTAGGTTTACTAAAGATTTTTTTTACTCAGTAATGTGTGTACTATTTGTAATATAAATGCTAAATGCTTTTTTTAAGAATCCTTTATATCTATCTAATTTTTATAGTTAATTGTCATATTTGATAAAATTTGGGTACAAAGTTGATCATAAGTAATTAAGTGCAATTACATAATATAAATTTAACAAGGAAATGAAATAAATTAGTACATTTATTAAAAAATATTAAAAATTTATTTTGTACAAAGTAGAGACTAATTTTTTCTTCTTCAAATGTTCAATTGTTTGTTACTTGTCCATGGTCTTCTAACTGTTTTTGCAAAACTGCCATTTCTTGTTTCAGAGAATTGAGGCATGCTTGCAAATTATTCAGAGGACTAACAAAAAAACATTAAGAGTTAAATAAAGAAAGCATATAGATTGATATATTTTACAAAGTTTATAAATACATACCGACTTTCAGGAAGAACTGAACTTTGTTGTAGTAATAAAGCAATTGATTTTTCATCATATGGAGCAGGAGCATCTGGTAGCGACAAATTTAACAGACTACCTCCTGTTTGCATTTGCGTTCTCAATTGCTATTTATAGAAATTACATTTAAAATTTAAAAACTTTCAAATTTTTAACTTAAATAAAATGTAGATAATAGAAATAAAACATCTTACTTCATTTTGTTTAATACTAGATTTTAATGCTGTTTGTAAATGTGTAACTTTAGCTTGATAATTGAACTTCTCTTTCCTACAACTTGTTAATTCCTTTTTGAGAGCTTCAGTTTCATCATGAACAGACTAATTAACCAAATATTATCAAAAAATAACTTTATTAATATTATTTTATTAATTTATTCATAAATTATTATAATAAGATAACATTAAAAAAATCACACATTTCCTATTAAAAATATGTATAAAATAAATGTTCACATAAATATAAAAAAAATAAATAAATTTCTTACTTTTCTCATTTTGTGAGAAAAATAAAGTAAATTTATCAATATAAAGTTCATTCAAACATCTCATATAGAATAATATAAAAAAAATTAGAATTATCCAAATATATTAAAAGAAATTAATTCATGTTAAAATTTACCTGGAGCTTATTAGTCAGGATTTTAATTTCTTCAGAATATCTACTTTCTTTATTTTTTATTTGTTCTTTTAGCATTGCTATTTCTTGATTTTTTTCGTTAAGATGCCAACTGAGAGCCTGTTATAAATGCACAAACAGATTTGCATGTGATTAAACTAGTATATTTAATCAGATATTAAATATACTAGCGTAGATTAAATTTATAACTTAAAAATCAATATATTTCTAATTTTTCATGTAACTAGATAGAAAAATAATATGAAGAAAGGATTTAAATATCAAAATATAGATACCGAAATATAAATTATTTCTGGTATTAACATTATATCTAATATATATCTAAATTATTATTCTTGTCTTTCGGAAATTAAGCTAAAAGAAGCTTTATGGGTATTGTTTAGTTGTTCAGTTTACTTTATTGTTATTACTAATTAAGTTGCTTAAATGCATAGTTTTAGATATATTTCAATATATAACATCAGACATTTATATATACTGTACATTGCAAAATTAATTGAACAAATTCAGATAAAATTTAACATTAAATATGTTAAAAGGAAGTCACTGATATATTTGAATATGATAATGTTAATTGAATTAAGAGTTTTGTTTTTCAGAATTTTTAAATTTTATAAAATTTTCTTTCTTAAATTTAACTGATCTTTGATGAGTTAAATGAATGATGACATATTCTTCAAAAGTACTAGAGCCTGAAGCTCTTTTGAATCTTTTATCTTCAATACATTTCATTTCTTTTTCCTGAAATATCTAGAACAACTATTTATATGGAATGATATTGTCTAATTTAAACAACTTATTTTTTAACAATAAAAAATTTATCCTATTTAAAAAAAAACAATTTTAATCAAATAATTCTCTTTCAATAATATCAACTATGAAGATCTTTAATCTCTGTGGCTGAAAAATTTTGATATAATAAACTAAAAAAAGGCAATAAACTTTTAGAGAAAATTTTATCATGTATTCATACCACAGGAAGAAATTAATTAGCACCAATTAGTAATGTTATTTTTAACACAATATTGTCAGATATACAATAAAAATGAGAATGAATTGTAAAGGATTAATCTTGCAATATCTTGAGACAGATTGTTTAATATATAAGATACTCCAAAATGAATCAATTAAAAATAGTCTATTTATAAGTGAAATAACTAATAAGATTTTTAATGAAGATAAGTTCTATGAAATATCATTTTACAATTCATATAAATGTATACTACAATCTTTCTATACTACAATATAATATAAAAAAATACAGTTTTTTTACATTAATAAATGTAACACAAATTTGCATAACTTTCATGTTTATACTGTTCAAATGTTTTCAATATGTTACAACCATATTATCCACAAAACTTTGAATAAGAATAGAATATACAAAGAAGAATTTTATTCAAATTAGAATATTTTAAAATTTAACAAGATTTAAAATCATTAACATGTAATAAATTTTAATATTTATACAATTCAAAACAACAATTTCAAGTTTAATATTAATGTGGAGATGATATCCTACATAAATTTCTGCAGCTGAACAAATTGTTAAGCAAAATGTTAAAGTTGGATTTTGAATTTATTATTATAGTACCCTCAATAACTTGAAGTAGATGGACCAGAAAATGTTAAGTTAATAGTACTTTCCATAACTCAATATTTCATTATTTTAATGGGATCATAAATATCCCAATACAAAATAATATATATATTATATATAAGCCACAGATTCCAACTGAATTTTGTTAAACTAAAATACTTCATACTTTCTTCTCCAGCAGTTTATTATGAAGGTAGACTGAAAAGTAATGCACACATGCTTGTAAAACACGAACAAAAACAAATAGCAATATTGGACAAAAAGTACATTAAAGCACATTCTTAAGCTTCAAAATCATATATTTATTTTTCAACACAGTCACCGTTAATTAAGGCTAACACATTTCTCCCAATGTGTAACAAGTTTTTTCATTCCGTCACTGAAAAATTCTTCTGACTTTTCTTGAATCAAGGACTTGACAGAAGCCTTCACCTCATCGTCTGAGGTGTAATGATTACCCTTGAGGTCTCCCTGAGTAGGGGGGGGGAATTGCAAGGCGCAAGATCTGGGGAATAAGGAGGGCTAAGAATCAGTTCAAACTTCAGGTTTCGCAGAGCATCTCCAGTCGCGTGCTAGGTGTGTGGATGAGCGTTGTCATGTTGCAAGATTATTGGCGCCAGGCTGCCTCTAATACAAGAAAAAATCACTTGGAGACAATAATCTTGTTTTACAAGCATGTGTGCATTACTTTTCAGCCTACCCTTGTATTTCCACAGTAATGTTTTCAGATGTATTTAACTTCAATGTTCAGAAAACTACCTAAAATATCACAACTTAAATTCCAAAAAAAGAACACACAAATTCCAAAGTTTAAATATAATATCTCATTGACAAATTACAAAATTCAAATATGGAACATTACATAATTCTGAAATTTCAAGATTTTCAGAATTATGTAATGTTCCATGTTAAGTTTGCAACATGTATGATTGTCTGAAGATGGGCATTAAATGTCTGAAAATGTTACCATAGAAACAATAAATTGCTGGAGGAAAAAGTGTGAAGTGTTTTAATATAAAAAATAACAAAACATTGACACTATTAACAGAAAAAGTATGTTACATGAGTTTGTCATTGATGATTCATTATTTCAATGTTTTCAATATACAGTAGAACCTCCATTATCCGGATTTTCGATTATCTGGATTGTTCAAAATAAACAAAAATTTTACGAATTTGCTGATCTGCACTTGGCGAATTACGACACTGTTTATGTACGTGATGGAATGCATAACTTTTTTTGTTTCAACGCCTCACCCAGCACAGTGGTCGTAAACTCTTAAATATATTTTACGTAGTAATAAAAATATAACTTGACATACGTATTTATAAATAATTTGTATTCAAATTACATCATTTCTATGACCAAGGGCGGCGTAAGGCATGGACGACGTGGGCCACCGCCTATGCCTCGCGGTCCAAAGGGCCTCGCGCCTCGAAGGTTTATGCATTACTTAAAAGCCGTGAATGCGACGAAAAAATTTTAATCGTCATAAAACGATAAATAGTTTGTCAAATTTTTATTCATAAAAATGCAGTTTCAACTGCTTTTTATTTTATAAAATCCGTCTTCTTGCGCCACCAGAGGGCCTTTTAAACAATAGGTAGTCTGTTAGCGTTGGTCAGTAGTAGTCCAAATTCAATACGAACGTTTGTTTCTTGAAAATTTGATCACGATTTAAATACAGTATTTACTTTTAATATTACCGATATGTCATCGAAAAGAAAACGTGTTGTATTATCATTAAAAGACAAATTAAAGTATTTGTTTCGATTATCCGGATTTTTCCTTATCCGGACTACCTTCATCCCCAATTAGTCCGGATAATCGAGGTTCTACTGTAGTTAGCCTCAAAAGCAACTTATTTTATGAATGATATAGTTTCTAGAAAGCTCCTTAAAAGCTTGAGAGCTTTTCTCACTTCCCTTTGTAGGGAAGTGAGAAAAGCTCTCAAGTAGGTAGAGCAGGATATTCATCTTTGACAGGATGTATTTCTTCTTCACCTTAATCACTTATTTCTTTACTTCAGCAATGACATAGTCTTTGGATAAGTATCTGCAGACAACAAGCAATTATTTATAGTGACGTCATCACAATGCTGGGCTGCAATTTTTAATCATATTTTTAATTTATTTAATTTAAAATATTTGCTCTCCACCTCAAATTAGTAGTGACTTGCCCCTGTTTACCATACTTTTCTTTTAAGAATAGAGTTGTGCCTATCAACTATCTAACACCTTCAGGGGAAAATTTGTGAATTGAAATAACATGACTTCTGATTTGCATCAGAAGTTCGTATATAGTTAATCAAGGCCTCCTGCCCCTAAGGTTCCCATATCTGGTTTTGTCTTTCATCTATCTAACTCTGTTCTCAAGGTTAATGAAAGACAGACAAACAGATGACAGGTCTACAATATTTTCATATTGCAATCCAACTAAGTCATTGCTGATGTTGACAATATATTTAACAACACTTTTTTATCCATTGTTGCTGTAATAAGATTGGCCTAGTCTTTTTCAATACAGTTAACAAATTCTGATTTACTTAAAGCATCTACAAAAGCAGATTTTGTAAAGGAATTTGCAATGATGCTTTGTGGATTTACATTCCAAACTTAATCATGTGCATTGCATCTAGCAAGTTCACTCCAAAATTACACGCTACATCTTCAATATAATATACAACTTTCATATGATAGCTTTCTGATCATAATTTAAAGTTTTAAGTGATTCCCTGATCTAAAGGTTGCAATCTAGAAGTTGTATTTGATGGTAAAAATTGAACTGTTATAGTTTTCAAAGTGGGAATCATCAAATGTGCACTGCAAGTGCCAATAAAAATAATTTTTCTGTTTTTTGTAATCATGAAGACATTTAATATCTCAGTTGAACACAGATGTGTTTAGTATATTTTAAAATTTTCAAAATCTAAAAATTTTAAAGACTAAGATCTGATTGGTCAATTTGCATTTGAGAATAAGATCATTAATTTAGATGTGAAACATCTAAATTAATGATCTTATGATTCTTATTCTCAAATGATCTTATGAATTTTATGTTATGCAATCAGTATACTCTCGATAAATCGAACAAATTTGGAATTCATTTTTATTTGAAAGACTATTAATATTTAAATATAATCTGTCATCACTTTTGACTAACCATCAGTATCAACTGCAGAAATTGATCTAGGATATATTGCAAATGTAAATATAGAGAATTATGCAATTTTACGTTATTAACACCAGAAAACTAAAGTTTTAAAACTATATACTAACTCTAATGCTTATATTATAATGGAAAGATGTTTCCTCCATCATACCAGCCACCATATTATAGTATTTTGAAATGTGTTTTTTCCCCCACATCTGCAGACAGGTTGCTTTGTTTTTGATCTGATTTTTCATACAGAATTCTCATATCAATTTACATAATTCTTTCATACTATAGAAGATATCTGATTTACTGTATACAGTGGAACCTTGGTATACGACCTTAATCCGTTCCCGATGTTTGGACTTATACCAAACCAACCTTTCCCATAAGAAGTAATGTAAAAATGATTAATCCGTTCTCGTGTAAAAAAAATGGCTGGCTTTAAACACCTCGCTTTCCTGGCTAGTTCCTGCTTGATTTTTCGTGAGATCAGCGTGTATCTTTTTAGCTTTCTCACAAATAATTGCTTCTGATACGCTGTCTCCAGCACTGTTTTTCAGTTATCCAAAGCAAAAGCAATTTCTCGACATGATCTAATGTCTTCGATCTCTGTTTAGAAATTGATTTAACTCTTTTCGCAACGTTAGCAGATTTAATAATGTCTTTATTTTTCGCGATTGTCCATATCGTCGTTCTCGGAATACGGTAAACAACAGTTAAAATCTCGAACAGGCGTGCCACCTTCGTATTTCTCAACAATCTCTTTCATCAGTTCCATTGTAATTCTAGTAATTTTTTTAGTTTTCTGTCGCTTTTCATTTGCCTTTTTGCGATTCGTGATTAATAAAAATAATAAAATTTTACTTACGAATTAAAATCAGAAGAAATTAAACAAAGTTATAAACCGTTGCACCGCGAACGTCTAGTCTGGTCTAGTACACCGATAGTGCTACTTGTTCATTGATGGCGCGTATAGTTGAATTATGTCGTATACCAAACAAAAGTTGTATACCGAGCAAAATTTGTTTCGTCCAAACAGGACGTATTCCGAATTGGACTTATTCTAAAGCAGACGTATACCGAGGTACCACTGTATTTCTTAATATACTTTTATTAACAAAAATTCAGTTTTTTATTATTCAGTTATTACTCAAAGGTTACCAGATAGATTAGATCAGTATTTTTCAACCTTTTCTATTTCACAGCACACTTGTACTTATAATTAAATTTCTTCAGCACAAATTTCCATAGAAAAATTCATGTGATTTAAAGTTGTGTTTGTAATCTATCACCATATTACTTGCCACTTAACCTAATTCTTTTTGTCTATATTTATTGTGAATTAAATAAAACAGTATTGTTGTTCCTTAAAATAGCAGCAGATTACAATAATGGTTATTTTAATTAATAATTTTCATTTACATCAAAAAAGCAATTAAAATGAAGTCTTAATTTGCATTTAAAAGTGGTTAGATAATTGCCTTTAGAAACCTGCCCAATGTCTTTCTATTTCTAAGCTGAAAAGTTAATTTGAACTAAATATGGCTAGTTATAAATGAATTTTTGATTTAAAGAAAATTTTATTTAAAATGAAATAACCTGGTGTTATGCTCATATAATTTTGCTTATGAATTTACTACATTATGTATATATTTATTCATTATAACAATGAAAAACTCATATAATCAATTCAAAGAGGTTTTAATTTTGACATGTACAGTACACTCATTGTTCTTTGGGCTTCTTTCCAAAATAGTTTATTTAATAACCTTCAAAAACTTTCACGGCACACCTTAGGATGTTCTCATGGTGCATAGATTGAAAATCACTGGATTAGATGCTTAATAAACAAAGTGATGCCTTTTTAAAACATATATATATATATATATATATGTTTTAAAAAGGCATCACTTTGTATATATATATTTTATAAAGATTTTCAAAAAAACCACATCTAATTTTTCCTATAACCATTTTTTTTTTAATTTTTAGCTCTTTCTGCCCTTTATTCCATACGCACTGTAAGTTTGGCCAGGCCCACAATGGGCACTTGTTGGTGAGAGATAGGGTCCAACATTTCTGAATGCCTATGAAAAATTCCTAAGTTGCTCACTGAGATTTGATCCCAGGTTCCCAGAGTGGCAGGCTAAGACAGTTAAAGCCTTAGCCTTCCAGTTATCTTTTCTATAAATTGTTGAAGACTATTTTTATTTCTCTGCTGTTCCATAGTACACATTTTTCAGCATATCACAAAGCTTAATTAATTAAATAAGCTCTATGTAATGAAAAATGGATCTTAATAATTAATTAAGCTTTATTTTTATTTTAATTGTTTATTTAGTAAAAACAAAACAAACCTTTATTTGTTCGGCTAATGCAGGATCCCGACCTTTCATTTCATCTACTTCCTTCTGTAACTGTTCCAAAGCTGATAGTTTCTGTCGGTACTGAGTTTGCAAACATTCCATATCTGACCTGTGTTTTAATTCCATTTCATATTTAATATTAAGTTCTTTATTAATATTTGCAATTTCATTTTGTCTTGAGTCTGCTATTTGATTTGCTTTCTCTAATCCAGATTTCAGACTTGTGATTTGTCTCTTTAGCAGACTGTTCTCTCTTTTTTCTTGAAATTTCTGTTTTAATAATAATAATTACTATTATAAAATTATTTAAAAACACAGATTTCAATTCATTTATGTAAAAATTGAATATACTTGTCATAATTTATTTGATTCTTATTTTGCAAAATTTTGAAATACATCTTTTAACATGTTGACTGTCAATTATGAGTTAACTCATAGTTATCTCATAAAACATGGTCTTGCCTTTGGTGGTCTTGAAATGAGCAAACAGTAGCAAATAGATGTAAATAATAGGTAGTTGGTATCTGATATAAGAATAAAAAAATAAGATATAGCACCTCAGAACAGAATATTTACTCACAGAAAAAGTAATATTAAGTAATCAAAACAGTGCTATTATAACTTATGAAAATAATGTGTTTGTTTGTAAACTAACACAAAGAACAGACTTCTTTTGGCACACTAGACAATAATAGTATGTTTTGTAGTATTCTTATCTTTTGTGCATACTTGACATGGCCTGGACAAATACTGTTTTTCTCAATGGATGGTTTATAGCCTCTATATCAAGGATGGCCAACACGTAGACCGCGGTTGACCGCAAAGGTTTTGAAATTAGCCTGCAAAGTTAAACAATTTGCTTTCACTTAAATTAATGTTTAAAAATCTTAATTCGATAATTTATTTTTACAATAATAGACTGTCTGTGCAACGTACCTATACTGTTTGTATTTATCCTGATGAACAATGCAAATGAATGTTAATGCATGCGCATATAAAAATCCTAAAATTGTTTGCCCATATTCATAGTTGCCCGAAGACTACATTTTACCAAAAAAGTAGCCCCTAAGAGATAAAAGTTTGGCCACACCTGCTCTATTTAATGAAATTCATCTTCATTTTAACTTTCTTTGCAATGTTTGGCATTTTATCTCCAATCAAACATCTAATGATTTTTTCCACTGAATTTCAGATCTTTCATGCCATTTTTTTATGGAAGAGGATGTGTGAATTTATATATAATTAATTTGAAAATATGTCCAAGGCTATGGTCCTTATGAAGCATAGTACATATGATCGATTGTTATTGGAACACATTGAGCATACCAGTTCTGACATTGTACAAAGAGATACAGTGAATAAACTACAAGCTAGAGTTAAGCACTTTGCAAACACTAAAGTTGCTAAGAGACTGGAAATGAGAAATATCATTGTTGATTCACCCGATACACCAAAGTTGTTTGCCTTCATGAAAATCCACAAAGTAGGGCAGCAACTTTGCCCTGTTAAAGATAAGGCCAGAGCCCCAACATATGAACTGGAGAAGTTTGCCCACAAGCTTATCACACCCTACTTGGAAGATTATTTGTACATACTGAGTGACCCTGTGAACCTACTAGACACCCTCAAACAGATCCCCGTACCACATAGGTTTCTCACAGTATTGGATTTCAAGTTGCTTTTTCCATCAATCCTACTCTCACCTGCCTTTTGCGCCATCAGAGATTTACTACTCTGCATCCTCAACAATAATACGTTACACCAGCAAATTCTTGAGATGGCACATCTTTTGTGTTACAATTCTTTTTCCAGTTCAAGGGTAATGTGTACATGCAAGAAAGAGAAGTCCCTATGGGTAGTCCGGTCTCTGGGGACTTATGCGAGATGGTGATTAGACAACTTGAAGCTAAGGTCCTCCCACACCACCTGCATATCATTATTTTATATAAAAGATATGTCGACAATATTATCATATTGTGGAAAGAAATACCGGACATCAAGGCTTTTGTTGACACTATGAATGATAACACACATGGATTAACCATAGAAATAGAACAAGCACACCAGACGAATGTACACTTCCTAGATATTGACATCAAGGTAGAAGAGGCCGTAATCCACACTACAGTGTACCGAAAGTTAGGAGCAAAGGGCATATACATACCAGTAAGGTCATGTGACCCCACCACAGTATAAGGTTTTGCCATTTAAAGCCCTAATTAAGAGAGCACACACACTCTTTTACTGAGCGAGCCCTACAGTTGGAGCTAAGGCTTACACATCGAATAGCCTCTGAGCACAGATACAGCAAGCTCATACACAAGTTAATACATGGATACCAAAATCCAGCTCAAGACATACCACAAAAGAAGGAACAACAAGATATGGATAACATTATTCCAGTCACTTATAATCCATATATTAGAGACTATATGGCAAGATAGCTAAAAAGAACCACATTCGTATCGCCTACAAAAGATGTGCTTTGATATTTAACATCCTAACCAACAGAAAAGATCAACTAGATAAGGATAAGCTGTCAGGGGTCTACAGCATACCGATTATAGATTGCAGATGTGATAGAAATCTTGTGTATGTGGGCTCCACCAAATGATCCTTAGAGATTAGACTGAAAGAACACGCTGTGGATATTCAGAAACAAAGAAATATGACGGCTCTGGCAATTTATGTGTTGGATCCAAATATAGACCCTGAATTTAAGAAAGCCAGAATTATACACACCACACGGCACACACAGCATATCAAGTGGCTGGAGGCGGCCAGCATATATTTAGCTACCTTAGGGATAATCAATGCATCAATCATAAAGAAGAGATTATGCTATCAGTAGCCTGGCAAGCACTTATGAACAGTAATTTATGATAGCCGTATTGAAATTGACTGTGTATGACAAACAATGACGTAAATGAGAAGCGTGTATTAGAACGTACATATTTTCGAATTTGAAGTTTTACGAGCTGCATTTCTATCAGAGATTCGAAATACCTGAAGAAGAACTGTTGTTGGGGTTTGAAAACGTTAGTAAAGAGCTATTTTGGTTGGTTACGAGTTTTAGAAGAAGAACACACCGGTAACAGGTTAGGAAGAGTTTTTGTTAGTATTGTTGTCCAGTGTTGAGATAAAGATGTGTAGTAATTTAATTTGAAAATACATAATGCAATGTGTTTGGCCACACGATGGTTTTTCTTACACTAAATAAGAAAGCATTTGACCTGAATGATCTATGTCAGACATTTCATTACTATAATCTTTAATTATGCTTGGTTTTATCTAAATTGATATAATACTCAGCCTATTTCATACACCAACTACATGTTAACTCACATGTTTTGTTTGGCAAAAATAAGTTTTTGTTATGAATTTAGCTAAAAAGTAAATGTTATAAATTGCATACAATAACATGCATATATAAAAATGACAATAGGGAACATTTCATACAATGCAAATCTGGCAGTCAACATGTTAAAACATTAGTATTAACAAATTTCATTCTGTATATAAAAGTCAAAATAAAATGCTATATGTTCATGCAAGGTATAAAAAAATTTACAACATTGAACTTAAGATTTTACACTATGATGTTTAGACATGTTATTTTACACATTATTTCGTAAGATTACAGAATAATACTTACAAGTTACCTTTATTTTTTTTAGTATTAAATAAATAACTTTCACTTTATTTTACTTATGTTAGTTACAAAACTTTTCTTAATTTTAATTATAAATTAAGGTTAAAACTGTCATGTTGCTGATTCCTTGTATTGACAGAAAATATCCTTAAGAATTTTAATGCATTTCTTTTGAGATATTGGTTTTTCATTTATACAAATCTTTTGTTTATACAAACACATTCCAGGAATGCAATCTGTATGTAAATCATGATTGCAATATAATTTCAATTAAAATGAACTTACTTGATGTAGGAGTTCTTTAATCAAAGTTTTCTCTTTTTGCAAATCTTTTTCCATAATTTCTATTCTACTTTTTAATTTACTTTCTTCTTCTTCACGATGTTGTACTATACTTTGCATTTGTTGTTCCAAATAAGAAATAGTTTTTTCTTTACTTGTTATTTGCTTTTCCAAATCTAATATTTGATTCCTTAATATGTCATGGCTACTATTCATTCCTAACAATAAATATATGATTAATATACTTTATTTAAAATACATATATAATAAAAACCACAATATCATAATTAACAGGTATACTATTACAATGATTTAAAAATGTAATATGCAGAGATTTTATGCAACATTTTATGCAACATTATTACTTTAGTTTTAAAAAAAATATTAATTTATTTATTTATATATAAAATTTTGATGATTCTAATTTAATGTTATTATTTCTCTTTCTTTTCATTTATAAAATTAATTTCAAATAAACTAGATATTTTTTATTTTAAAATAATTTCTTTAGAAATAATTCAGTTGTCATTTAAAAAAACTATTGATATTTAAGAATAGAATAATAATGCTCAATCTTTTAATTACAAGTTCATGAATAAATCCTAAGAAAGTACTAACAAACTTTTTGGTGACTAAATGCCAAAATAATGAGCAACAGATACTTCTGTTGTATTAATCATAGTGTGATCATCAAAGACAGAATAATTGATGATGATAAACATAAATAATTAGTTTTAATTAGAAAAATTAATTAATGACATTCTTATTTATTTCATTTGAAAGTTTTAAATATTTTATATTATTTAAGTTTTAGATTACTATTATCACAAAGATTCAAATAAATCAAGCATTTTAGAAAACAGTTTAACTTGTCAATAACCTATTCGTATTGTTTTAAATTAGATGATTTGAAAATAACATTATAAATAAAACTAGATGGAAAGAATTATTATTGTAACAGTAAAAAATTCCAATGAGAAGCCTTAATTTATATCATAATACATCATATAAAATATAAAAAAATAATAAATATATTTTACTGTTAACAATACTTATACTGCCTTAAGAATGGCATATATATCAAGTTTGTATTAATTATTCATTGAACAATAGTCAGGCCTTTAAAAACCAAATTTGGTTTTTCATTGTACAAGGGCTGTGGAGTCAGTAAAAACTACTCGACTCTGACTCCTGATAATTTTAGTAGGCTGACTCTGACTCAAGCAAAATTAAATACCAAGTCATTTTTTGGGGGTCAGAGGCACTCATAGGGGGTTACCCTACTCTGAACTCTGACAGGAGCCCTGGGCATTTACCCAAATATTTTTATAGTTCG